GTCAGAAATGGGCAAAAGGTTGCATTTGGGAAATGACAGGGCCCGTTTCATGTAAAGTAAAAGTCGGTGAGGCCTCCGAATGGCGTCGACAATACGATCAAATTATCCCTCTTAAAAAGCGTTACTCCCTTTCTCGTGCGAGTATGAGTATGAGAACGGATAAACCGACTGGGGGGTCTGACGGTTCTGAAGCGGAACCAGAAAATGTGTCAGGGAGTGGTGATAAGGACGGAGCTCAAGGCGAACAAATAATTAATGACGATTTTGAGGACGCGTTGGAAGGCGTAACGCAAGCTCAGCCAGAACTGCGCCTCTCCCTACCCCCAGACGCATCAGAGCGAGCTAGGCGAGCTCATAAAAGAGATAAAATTAATAGACAAAGTCATGATTGTTAATATTATAATTTCTATGCACTTTTATTATCTTGTAATTTGGTGGTGGGATGTGTCAGGTATTTTTGTATTTGTTATAAGGCGGTAGTTTTAATAAATCAGTTAGCATCCAACCGTTTTTCGAAACATTTTTTTTCTTTAGATTTAAAAAGTGATTAGCCTAATTGTGTAGACCACGCATACGAAACCGAGGGCGGAAAGATACATATTTGTTAAAAAAAATCTACCGAAGGATCAGTCTACGGTTACAAACGAAGACACTGGCAAGTTGGCATAACGAGTTGAGTAGGATATTTCCAGAATAAGTGAAGTACTTTCAGACCTTTTTCCTGCTGAGCGATTTCGCAAAGTTACGTTACGTTAATCTTGGCAGATAATAATGTTACTTCCGCGGAAGAGGATGGGAAATAAATGTTATGCCCGCTTTAACAAACTTTATATTAGCTGAAAGAGGTTGAAAGGTTAATTACCTACCTTCCTTATAAATAACGTAAGCATATCGTAAGTGCCTAAGTGGTTTCTGTTCTTATAGGTACATAATAGCTTCAAGCCTACCGCCCATAGGCACGTTATTATCGGCCGATAATATCGGATGCATTATTGCGATATTTCGTCAAACCTCTATTGCGCCATTATTATCACAGCAGTGTGTAACTTTGTAGCCGTTCTCATACATAATGTACTATAAACAGATATCGCAATAACATATCCGATATTATCTAGTGCTTCTTACCTATTTATTCTAAAAACTTAAATTTCTACTGTTAACTAAATTATTAAGTCGGTAAGTTGTTTTACTTACCTTTTTTCAATTATATCTTTTTTGTTTAGTAAAAATTGAGTACACCTTTATAATGTTCCATTTTTAATCTCTAGTTATTTAATTCTGAAGTCATTGCAATTGTTTCTGCCAATTCCACATTATGGCTTATATAGCAAATATCTTTCTCTACGGCCTAGAGCCGCTTATTATGAAGGTCGTCCGCAGACCGGCAGTCAGTTCTGGTTCATTTCCGAAGGGATAACTGAAGGATATAACATTAAAAAAACACACAAATCATTTTTATCTGATATAGGCTCTTTCCAATCCAATCTCGGCAATGAGGCGTCACCATTGATTTAACATAGTGTCACTCTGTGCAGTTTAAACACAAACACATTTTCTTGTTATTATTTACTCACAACTATTGATGAATTTTACTTTCAGATTGTATTAAGATACCATATACTTTCTGTGCGTTCAGTATATTCTCTCCACTCTCTCCTACTTGGTACTGTAAGGTCCGTTACGTTACAGCCTCCTTGTTTGGGTAAACTCTTTGTTCATGTAATGCCTACGGCTGGCAGTTATATGAGCTTAATCTATTAACGCATGGTTTGGTGCTTGAAGTCTATCTGATGGAATCTTCTATCAAACGACAGAAGATTCCCAATCTCAAATATTTAAAAATCATGACATTACCTTTTTAATATAACTGCCAGCAGGCATTACATGAACAAAGAGTTTACCCAAACAAGGAGGCTGTAACGTAACGGACCTTACAGTACCAAGTAGGAGAGAGTGGAGAGAATATACTGAACGCACAGAAAGTATATGGTATCTTAATACAATCTGAAAGTAAAATTCATCAATAGTTGTGAGTAAATAATAACAAGAAAATGTTACGTATACATACGTATATATACATTTTTTTTGTTTCGATAGAGTTTATAATTTACGTTATTTATGACGGGCCATGATAAGGTCTGTCATACTCGAATATGCCACTTAACAGTGCAGCTTAAGAGCGAAAGTGCAATGACAGCCACCTACTTGTTTACAACTCATCCATGCTACCTATGTATAAGTAAGTACTCGTCGGTGCTAGAGAACTCTCAATTGAGCTCGATTTTTCTAGACTACATCGATTGACGAATAAAAGGGCGCTCAGCTCGGCGCAGTGGTCAGTTTACTTTTAAGGCGACAACAGTTGAGCTTCAACAGCGGTTTCGGGAAGATTACAAAGGTGACTAAAGTGCAAGTGTTCGTGTGCGATTTTATAAGATCTTTTGTAGTGAAGGAATTGTAGATGTAGCTGTGAGTGTATTGTGATTGATTTTGTGGGTTGTAACTGTTTGTTGAATAAATAACTCTCAAGCGTGAAATGGAATTATGATTTCGATCCCCATCCCGACACGTAATAGTACTTATGTTCCTAAAATATTCCACTGTAGAGGTTAGGTTTCAGTCAGTTTAATAAAGTCCTTATAATTTAGTCAAATATGTTGATATATATGGTGATTTTATTAACAATCAAACGAATAATGCTTTGTTGTAGTTTATCTTGATATTTTTATTTTTTTTATTTCAATAATGCCAAGAACTGGGCCTTACAAGGCGCACCTACATTTTTAGTAATTGACAGTGTCTTTCAAACGTAGGTTTCAAACGTATCTACCAACAAAAAGCAATATTTGTATTCTAAACGTACTCAGAATCATCGTGACTTCGATTGTATGAAACTCTTATTTCGATGAAGCGTCGCAGGCAATATTTTCATTCACAATAGATGCGCCGCTCATGCGCGGTCAACCTCTTCAAACTCAAACCAGAACTCTTAAGTGGATTAAATGCTGAACAATAGAGGACCATTGCTCGGCCTGGTTGTGCCCGTCATGAACACACGGCACGTTAATACTTGAATATTGTTTGTCCCGCCCTTTGTATACTTGTAAGTAAGTACATGTGGGTATTTTAGGCCCTGGCCTGAGAATTGTTAATCAGATGGACGGGTTACTCGAGTGAAGTTCAACGTAGTCGACCTGCAATTTCATAATTTAAAATAGGGACGAAAGAAACATTAACGTGCACAATGGGCAGCATGTAGCCTCGCAACATGGCCAATGCAGCCAGTATTGCTATTCTGCAATGCTTATCCTACACCTACGTGATGAATTTCTTGGTTCTAAATTGACCTAAAATTAGCATTCGAACTTTGAGTTTAGTACGCTCCTTCAGCTGCACATACAAGTTTATCGTTTTCCACAACCTCTTTTAGCATGTCAAATTATCGCCAGTCAAGCTATCGTTTAGCGTCTATAGACACGCAGCCCGCTAAACGACAGAACTAATTCAAATTTCGAACGCTAATTTAGGCGCATAGAGTACCAAAGTCATCCGAGGCTTCGTCGCGCAGGTGTGGGAGAAGCATTAGAACAAAACACTTTTTACCAAGGAATTCGCTGGTGTGATTTTAAATTTATTTGAAATTCGTGTTTGAATTTTAAATCACAATCGGATTCCGAGGTGAAAAGTGAGTTGTAATGAAAGCTCGGTTCTTAAGTCGCTACATTTAGGAAATGTTAGTTTTCTAGTTGGTCTACTACTTTAATTTTATTATTGCACAATAAGTACAATTTTTCAATTGCAAGAATGCAAATGATGACCAATAGCTTTGTATTTCAATATAAATTTGTTAAACAAGAAATAACTACGTTATAATAATTATTATCTTTGACAAGTAAATGGTGCTTACAAAGCATGTTTTCTAAAACCTTATCGAACAACTTCGGCAGACTTTGCGAATGTGAATTGTATCTAATTCTTTTACGTGCGTAGACGATATTACGCAATAATAACGAAGCTGTTATATCATCTAGATATTGTGATACAAATTTCTTCAGAGCCTGATGAAGCTACGAAAGTTCCGAAACGTTATTAGCACGGTCCGCAATCGTACGTGAGTGGGAATAGCGAAACGTGTGTAATACCTGTTAATGTTTAACAATGTACAACAGTATAAACAAAGGAAGGACGTAACGTACGTAGAAATTATGTCAACGATAATGGAAATTTCTTTAAATTCCTTATTCAAAATAAATTGTGAAAAGCTCGGAAGGACTATCAGCTCGGAAAGCTCACCACGGATTAAATCTGTCGCATAATAATTAAGAAGTTAATAAAACGAAAAATACATGGATTGTTTTAAAAAAAAAACATTCAAATGAAAAGAGTTATACTATAAATCCTCAAGTAATGTTCTATAAAGTATATTCCGCAGGATCGGAAAGCTAAATATAATGTATGCTAAAAATAATTAATTGAATCCGACACAATAGGTTTAATTTCACAACATATAAATCCCTTTACAATTTTATTATAATTTTGATAGAAACCCCATAAACTAGACACTAAAAGAATCTTAAAAGTCAATTTATCAAAAAAGGTCGGCAACAATGCGCATTGGTACCTATATTTTGCACATAAACTACTTGTTAAAAAGTAAACAGATACTCTCTATAAAAGAAGAAAAAAGGAAGTCGACGGCGTCTCCAAATTCACTTTGAATATCATTTGATTCCGAGCGTCTGTGTGATGAATAATGCAGTACAACCTGGCGAATAAGGGTTTGCACATTATTGAATATCAGCTTTATGCTGATCGGCCTCCCGTTTCAGCCGTTGCAGTGCGATACGAGGATTTCGGTGGTTTGCGTGACGTCAGCGGCGAGGGTGAGTCTAGTGGAGTGGTATGGAGGCATCTAGAGGGCGGGGGGAGCAGAAAGGCGCGCGCCGCCGCCGCTGAACGGCAGCCCGCCCGCCGTTCGTTCCACCATCTAACTGTAGGTACTATCTGTTGCGCGCCGCGCGCGGTGGAGGCGCCACGACCGCGCCTGCCCCATCTAAACCAGTAAACAAATCGGTACGCGCCGCCGACGAACAATCGTAACACGAACTCTATGCAATATCGCCCTTGGTGGTACTAGTGCATTGGACTGACCACCGTGGTGACTAGTTTCAGTTTTGACGGTGATTCAAAATTTGCCGGGCGGGTAAGCCCCGTCTGCCCAAGGATTGTAGTACAGTTGTAGTAGCACCATCATACTTGCCCACAAGGCAATGCACCGAGACATCACAATAATATTTAGGTAGATATGCTACTTTAGTCTTCTTAGTAAGTTAAATTATTTAATTAATTTTAAAGATTCAAACACTGATTTCTTTTCACAACTTTTTCTGATTTATCTTATTTTCAACAATTACTTGCGTTATGTTTTCTTTTCGAAAATTGGAATAGTTAGTACAAACATAATATTTATTTCGATTTTGACTCTCATTATAATTCAGCATTTGAACTATTGGAAACAACAAGAAAGAAAATATTTTTAATTCGCAAGGAATTTTTTCATTGTTCTACAAAATCAGAAATTAAATTTTAAATATTGTGCTTTGTTTACATTTTTTAGATAAAGCTTTTTAAACGTCATTTCATTTTAATAAAAAATAATTACTTATTTATTTAATGTTAATTAATATTATTACCATGGTTCAAATACCATTTCAATTTCTGATCTACTTGAAAAAAATCAAAAGAAATAACTTTAAGATCTTGAATTAAGAATCGCCGCGAAGAAGAAAACAATCAAATATTTGTCGTGTCTTATAAGATGATAACCTACGTAGTACTGTTTGTCTTTACTCAAAAAAATAATTAATTTTGTTACTTACCCAAGATCGTCTACAATATCCTTTATTTATAACTTTCCAATTTAGTTCTAGAAAAGATTAAAAATTTTCGCAAGGCCGTTAAACTAAGTTTGATTTGAGGTATTTTGCTTTTATTTGCAACTTAGGTCTTTTATAGTTTTTGCCTTACAATTTTGCGTTTATGCACTTCCGATTATGCAAATTGAATGATTGTCACTCTTGGCTTGTTAACTCTGAATTTGGTGCCTAGTTTTTTAAGTTTGGTTTTTGAACATACTTAAAGATATCATGGGCAGTTACAATAGTAATGATGACTAACTTTTTTGTCTTCGTCTATCAGGTATATTATAAAAAAATATTGGACACGTACTTTTTCTTTAATCACATAATCAAAACAATACAGAGATATATTGATTTCAAATATCGCATGAATTCACACCATGGTATAATTTCTACTTAGAAGTGAGGTGAGAGACCCCACTCCCAAACCTTTGTAATTTTTGGTTGATTGACAATTGATGACAATAATAAATTGACTTACAAAAAATAAGTGTATATTTTTTGATGTTAAGCTAACTGACGGACTAAATAGAATTTCGTTTACTTTACCCCGTCATCCTGCTCATTATTATTTTAGATTCGTTTCCATTTACTAAATTCTAAATAGCAATTATGCGCACTGCATAATATACAGAGTACACACTACGTTTATTAATAACATGATATCTGTTTACTGATATTCAATAAGATCGGAAAAGTATCTATTCACTGAACACTGTTTGCTTCCGTTATTCCTAGTTTGTCCTTACGACTTTAGACTCTAGTGGCATGTAGTTTAGCGTAAGCCAATTAATTTTTTACAGGGTTAGATTTATAACGGAGTTCATGTAACTGATGCATTATTATGAACTTTATGTTAATTTCGACATTAGAATATAAAAACTTGTTTCTTTTGTTATAATAATTATAACAAACGAAACAAGTTTTATAGATGATCTTTACGTTTTTATGCATGAACTCCGCGATATGACATATAACGCGTTTTTATCATGCTTAATTGTTTAATTACTATGGAGTTTCTTCATGTAATTACTACAGCTTTTTGGACAGCGGGCGCCCTTAACCGAGTATTTTTTTTATCTAAAACTTTATTTGTTAGGAAAGTGTATTTTAAGTAAGTTAGGTGAAAGTATTGTTGCTAAAAAAATTGAAAAAAACATAATATAGGTATAGTATGCGGCCTAGAGTGGATGCTAACAACTGCAGATACATCTAAGGCCAACATCTTAGTGCTTTCTGAAGCACGAAGCAATATTCATCCGTTAACATCTGTTTTTTTATCAACCGACCAAGCTAAAGTTACTTAATTTTCACAATCACACCTGAACATCGGAAGAACCACTACGTCAGTGAGATCCTGAGTAGAAATATCTCCAACTTTATGTGCATGCCGACAAAAATTGTTTAGATGAAGCCCTGACGCGCCTAAATGATGACCTGCAGCGGATTCCGGAATGATCCAACTGTTACATACATAAATGCCAAGCAATTGTAATGGCTAGCTCCCGAAAATTGGCCCTCCTAGATTTAGCTTCACTTAAACCGCTGTTACTTTATAATGGTGCAGCAATTAGATTTCAACCTAGCGTCAAAGATCTGGGTCTACTCATAGACTATTTCTTCAGCTGGGAAAATCAAGTTGATGAAGTTTGCCGTAAAATTATTAGCACACTTAGGCTCTGTACTGTATAGAAATCAACTCAAGTGGCTGTCCATACGTGACCATAGAAATCTCCGGATTGTATGTGTTAGATAATAAGCATATAAGGTCGTAAACAAGCTAAAAACAAAACATCGAGTCGGCTGTATAATTATTGAACATTTAATAATGGTTGATTCAGTGATGTTATTGCTGCTTCAATACTCGTACTTGATTTTTGTAATGTAAGTTTTATAGAAAATACTATGAAAATCTATTGCTAGCACTAAATTACATAATTTAATAGAATATTTCATAAATTGCGGGTAGTCAGCGAAATCTTTGTACACGTGTTCTGAACGGCCCGATGACGTTAGTTGTTTGTCGCTACCTTTATAAGGCCGAGCTCCAGCCTTTGCGGGGCGATTTTGTATCGAGCCATCGGACCGAGCGGAGCTCTGATTAAGTAATCATTTTCATATTGTTGTTTATAACTTTTATCGGAATTATAATTGTTTAATATTGTAAGTCATAATATAATAAGGAAATTTATTTAGATTAATAAAATATATGAGTATACAATTACAAAAAGCTTAAAACTACCTAACGTCTAAAAATAATATATAATAATATATTTTTGCCATTTACAATAGAAATAACTTCTGTAATCTTAAAAATTAAAATAAGAGGTTAGTTATTTGCGAGTAAAGATTTTATACTTTGTTTTGGTATTTTAATAATCAATAAATAGTGTACTTTAGACATTCAATAATTTTGAAAGTAGTTATTTCTCTTATAAAATAAAGAAATCTGAATCTATTGAATAGTTTTATTTCCATTCCATTTGCTTTTATTGCTTTATATAAGTTTCAAATTGTTTATAAAGTAAATTATTAATGCCAATGCTAACATATGCATGATTTTCACTATTTTATACGATCTACGTGCCCCAGAATACTTGAAATCTAGGTTTCACTTTCTGGGTCCCTCCAAAACACGTGATCTTCGCTCTTGCAGGCACATTACCCTTCAACTCATTTTCACCATTCTAGTTTCGTTTCCAAATCTTTCACCATTACAGCTATACGGTTTTGGAATGCTTTGCCATTGAATATTCGCAGTGCTCGTAGTAAGTTGGAGTTCAAAAAACTAGTGCATGCACACTATCTGACCACCTAATATTTCTCTAATCTGTAGTCATCTATACCATCTTATATAGTTATTTCTAACTAATTCAGTGTATAATTATTTAATGAAATTAATTAATATAATTTATTTATTTATCGTTTATAGTATAGTGTAGTTCTGTAGGATAATATTTTTGAAGTTATACTTCTTTAGGCGCGTTATGAAAAAATGATGAGAGTGAAATTTTTAGATGCGTGCGCATCACTGTAATTCAAAAGTAACAGCATGAAGTTGGCCGCGGGCGCGTTATGAAAAAATCATGTGAGTGAAATTTCGAGATGCGCGCGCATCACTGTAACACAATAGTAACACCATGAAGTTGGCCGAGGCGCGTTATGAATGTAAGTGTCTAATTAGACATCTCGCACCTTTATTCAAAAAAAGAAATAACTCAAAATTTCCATTTTTTGGGTTTTCGGCATAAAGTGAACTAACTAATTAGAGTCAATGCGCTCAGTTTAACAGCCGTTTCGATACAATGAAAATGAAAGAGATAGAAGACAATCGTTCTCTCTTCTACAAACGGGTTAGCACAAGTCGATACTAAATAAGTGATCGAATTCAGTGTTACGTCGGCTTCGTTGACAGTTATAGCGGTGTTATACTATCAGGCAAGTATTTCTTCTGGTTAATTATTTAAAAAAAGTATATATCTTGAGACTTAAATCTGCTTAATTGAAAAAACACTCATATTTTTAGAGGTTCATTGGGATTTGTTACAGTTCTCTATAAAATATTCAGGTGCGATTTGTGTAGCACTTCGAGTTAATGCACTTTTTTATAAAATTGTTTAAAAAAGCTTTAGATAAATAAGTATTGTTTTAGTATTGTATAATTGAATTTTTAGAAACTTAGTACGTTCAGTTTTGTTTCAGTTTATTATTTATTACTTAAATAGTATTTGAACTGAATAGTACTATCAGTACTTATGACCAACAGTTTGGCACTTTTGAGAGGGCCCTACAGCGTATTACAGACCTAGAAAAAGAGCTCTGTGCAGCAAACAAGCAAATAGCTCATTATATAGAAGCTCAGCAACTACAAGAAACTGCACACACACAAAGCCTCTTTGAAGAACTAATGGCATCTCCCGGAGGACCCTTAAACTTGAATTTGAATTTAGAGCCTGTAGCTAGTATGAAGGTTTCACATAATAGTGTAAGTGCGAAAAAATTAAAAAAATATATCCGAATCAGTAAATTCATAAAAAAAAACTGAGAAACTTGTAAAAAAAAACAATTGTTTTTATAAAAATATATCCCTTAGAAAGGAAAAAATTAACCTCATGGACTCTCTTGACATATTTTCTGTTCGAAAGGTACTTTGAACGATCCACGGAGCTCCATAAGATGATCGCGTTGTCAAAAACAATGTTGGCACGCTCGTCGCCTCTGATCAGTGTTTTCATATTTATAATAATTATCCACATGTTTCTAGTTTCTATATAGACACCACGTGTTTTAGTTACTTACAAGTGCTAATTACATATGGACTAATAACTAAAATTCAGTAGTGATTTTAATTGAATATTTTGAATATTTATTTAATTTTTCA